CACGGGTTTGATTCCCGGTCGAGGGCACATACCTGGGTTGCAGGTTCAATCCCTGGCCCCGAAAGGGGCACGTGCGGGAGGCAACCAATTGATGTGTTTCTCTCACATGGATGTTTCTCTCCCTCCCTCCCTCCCTTTCTCCTTTCCACTCTCTCTCAAAAAAAAAAAAAAAATCAATGGGAAAATATCCTCCAGTGAGGATTAACAAAAACAAACAAACAAAAAAAACCCACTAAAACATTAAAAAGAAAAAGAGCCTGAAGACTGAAAAGTAACTCTCGAATTCCCCTTCGGTTTTCTGCCAAAGGCTGAGGAAGGACAGGCCGAGCTGCCGACGTGGGAGGAGGGGAGACGGCACAGGCCACAGGTCCTGGGCCAGGAAGCAACGGAGCCAGCCACACCGATACAACAGATTTAATAATGGAGGAACGTTCTGGAAGGAGTCTAGCAACTGCTTCCTAATGCTGCTTCTGCACTTTTGTGTGGCACTTTTCACAGGAACGTGCAGGTATGTCATGTTATAAATTTCATTACAATTTAATTAGTTCATTTAAAAAAGCAACCCTCTAAGGTGCCAGGCTGGACCCTGAGGGGAGAGGGTGAGGCAGGCCCTTTGCAGGCGGCCCGAGGGCGCGGAGGGGATGGCAGCAAGCCTAGCGGACCTGGGGTACTCCACATAGTCCCCCAGGCGCGGGCCGGGGAGCAGGGGGCCTTCAGGGTCCTGCAGATGGCAGAGCAGTGCAGCAGGGGTCAGGGAGGCCAGGACTCGCCCCGGAAAAGGACGTGAAGGGAAGGACTCCAAGGGACCCGGGAGACACTTCTGACAGCAGCGGGGATGCTGAGCTGTTGACGAGGACTCAGAGTCATCGGGCTCCAGAGCCTTATGCTCTGTGTTCCACTGTACACAAAACCCAGATCAGGGAGCACCCCTGTCCAGACCCACCTATGCTACAGGGAGCTTGGAAGAGGCAAGTAGGTCCATGAGAAGTATATACACCAACTGCCCAAATATCCAGGGTTACCTGCTTATGGCCCATATGAAACCGAGAATGTGGCCACAGCCCAGAACCCTGTGACTCTTAGCAGAGTACTCAGCTCCTGAACTTTGATGGCAAGAAGTTTGGGAATGGAGGCAAGGAGCAGAGAGCAACATGTTCCTAAAAATTTAGGGGTTTTTTTCCTCCCTACTTGACCACACAAAGCAGCAGAAGCAGACTGGCGTGATCTCTAAACCCTTCTTCTAAAATGCAAATCTTTCATCTCCAAAGTGAGCCTTGCCCAAAGCTTTGCTGCTAGAGGAGGATACAGAATGGAGAAGCACAGGCCAAGTCAGCCTGCTAAAAGCATCTGTTCGCAAACACGCCTTAATGTTCTACCAGATCCCCGACAATGCCTGTGTCTGCTCCAAGGCAGGCCTGTGAGCCACCCATTTCTCAGGGGGAGAGCCACACCTCGGAGACAGTGCCCTGCTGGCGGCGTGGCCGGGACTGGGCTCCAGGGTTGGGGCTCCAGGTGCAATTTCTCTTTTGCTGAGACGGAAGCACTCCGAGGGCGGCGGCGCCCTCTGCACAGGGAAGATGATGAGGGCAGGAGGGGCTGGTGGCCTTGCCCTGCCGCTGTACTGACAGCATATGTTCCTGTGCAGATTTTTACAGGAGCTGATGAAGATTATGAGAGGGAGAAACACCCCTAAGCTAGAATGCTTCTACTTTCAGAAATATTTGCTCAACTGATTCCCAAAGATGGAGGAACTGAAAAACTGACAGGTTCCTGATGCCTTCCATGCTCCAGGCAGCCAGCGTCCCGCGGCACAGGCCTGTCACCACAGGGTGGCCTGGGCCCTGGTCTTCGCCCTGTACAACCGCGAGGCCAGTACCAGCCACAGAGCCACCTGGCCTCCGGGTACCGCCAGAGGCAGCTTCAGTGTGTGACCTGAGCCCTGACCATGCTCACGGCCACCAAGACCGATGACCATCAATATATAATCAATTTTCTACTTGTTGGTCCTGCAATGCATACGGATGACAAATGACGGTCACATTTGGAAGCTACATTTGACAATCTCCCTTAAAATGCTGCCATGGGAAAGATAAAAATGTTACTGGCCATGGGGGAGGGGGTATTCAGAGAAACAGGCAATGTCATTGTCCTCGGGGTGGCTGAAAGGGGCACAATCTGAGGCTGGTGTGACTGTTGATCAGGAGACAGGCCACATCACACTGGGACGGAACAAACCAAGGCTTCAAATATGTGATCCCAGGCACATCTCCGAGCCACCAGAGCACAGCTACTTTTCACATGGCCAACTCGAGGCTTAGCAACAGCAGGAATTTATTTATTTCATGAGAGTCAGTGATTTTTGAAAGTGGAAATGGAGAGATTGGCTAATAATGTCACTATTCTCACCATCAGCAGTAGCAACCATTTTTTAAGCCCACAGGCCTTCCATATACATGATCCCTACTGTCATCCTATTCATGTTATTCCCATTGTACAGGTGAGAAAACCGAAGCTCAGAGAGGTTAGTGATGCACCGCCGTCAGAACGCTGGCAGACACGGAATTCAAACCCAAGACTATCAAGCCCAGGCTCTTTCGGTCACAGCCTTAGGAAAGGCCCTGGGAACCCCGAATACCAGGTGGTCTGTCATCTAATATTAGTGATGCCCACCCCTGCTTATCATCTAAGGTCAGACACTGGCTAGAGCAAGCGCTGTGGTTCACCTGGAGCACCTATCCATGAGGTCCGTCTGTGGATGCCAGGGCAGTCACGCAGGTAAGGAATGGAGGGCCCTGGGGAGCACGCCCCATTCTGTGGTTGGCTGTGGCAGCCCCTGGGACCACATCAGAAGACAGATTGAGTGGGAAGGGACCAAGTGCCCTTAGTCAATCTGATTTAGGGCCCTTTTGGACAAATCTGGGGCCACCTATGAGGGCTGCTCCGTCCAGCAGCCTACCCAGGGGTCACCTCTCACCTTGTCCTTATTCATCACCTTTTGTGCCCAGGCACCAGCTCTCCTCCATGAATGGCCCTCCTCCTGGGCATGAGACCACTGACTCCACTTTGGTGCCAACCTTTTGCCAGGTCTAGGGGATGCATTTTAAACTCCTTAGTAGCACTAAACCATAGCCTCTGCAGGCTTTAGACACCCTGGACAATGTTTCATGTACCTCTCCTCAAATTCAGTGTCTCTGACTCTGCCATCTGTGCTGAGGTTGGCGAGAGGCATCAGAAGTGTGCTTTCAGCCTGTGTGGCAAAGCTGAGTTCAATTCTGAAAAACCGGGCTGGTTTGGTCTGGGAGGGCATGCAGATACCACAGTGAAGAGCTCCATTTGTTTTTAAATCACATTGGATATACAAATTCAGAAACACTTCAGTCCGGCACCCAGTTGAGGAATTAAAAGTACTAAATGAATCTGGCCACATCTTCCTGGTCAGGAAGGGCTCTGTATGGCTGGGCTTTTTGATCATGAGCAGGCCTGCGGGTATTCTCAGCCAGATATCAAACGAGGGAAAACTACAGTCACTTGCCAGCATTTGTAAGTACAGTACTTACAGGTTCGCTTCCTCTCATATTTATTTGTTCACAACTTTTGCAAAGAGGAGCCCCTTGCATTTCATCACCCTAATCTGGGCACAAACACCGTGAACATCTTTCGAGAGATGCATCTTTTCACACTGAAAATGTTTCAGCTCCAGGAATACTTTTTAAACCCACATTGTCATCTCTCCAGTTTACCACACCCTCTTTTTCCTGGCAAAGCCTTCGGAATTCAAAGTCTAATGGAGCCTCTTCTTTTGACTCTTTCAGAATCAGTCAATATTGGCAGCATACTGTCCTTCACACTCCCCTGCACCAGTGTGGGGGTACGACCACAAACAGTTTGTATTAATAAATATCTCAGCACACCCAAGCCTGAAAATCAGATGTAAACCTCATTCTTAACTAGAATTCCTTCCACAGTCCACAACTTCCTTGGAAAACCTCTCCAAGTCCAGCTCCTCCTCCCTGCAACCTCACAGCCTTAATTAACAGAGTGCAGACTTCATTTTTATACTTCTTGCTCCTTTTGACTTTGCCCCTTATGGCAGAAGTTGAGTTTGAAACGCCAAATAAGTACCGTGCAAAATCTAATGGCACCCAGCAGGTTTTAGCTGAACCAATTTCCAAGAAAAAGACCAAGTTTCTGAGCAGCACAGAACACTCAGGTCCTTGTGACTTAGTGTGGGTCATCCCTGAGTTTCTCTCATATAGTTTCAATGTTTCTTTCTTCACAGTGACCACCCCTCTAGAAGTCTGGGCACAATCTAGGTCAGGGACCCAGTCACACCTTTATATGTACCAAGTCTTGCTGGAGCTCGCTGAAACTTATCCCTTAGTTTTTTGGTGGAAACACGGGGCCATCACGCTCACCCCAAAACAAAGTTTGTACATCATTCTCACTCAGGAAACATCTCAGGCTCTGGGTTTCGCCTCCTTATCTTGGAAGGCTCCTCTTCCTTCTTGTTTGCTTGGCAATATTTTCCCCAAACAGCTCACAAATATTAACACATATATACAATCTGCTGAGTGCCCTTCTTGACAGCATGGGGTGGATATTGTTAGCCGGGTCTACACCACAGGGAACTGAGCCGCGGTGGGGTTGTCACCCACGGTCATACACCAAGTGGCAGAGTGGATTCCAACCCACTTGCCTGGCTTAAAATCCCTGCTGTTTCCGCGTTGGCGGCCTCAGCTCGGGAGGTCTCTGGACCCGGTGCGGTCCAGCGGAGCAGGTCTACATGAAAGGTCTTTAAAGACCTCCTGCTCCAGCGATTCTCCCCAAACTCCCGGGAAGCCTCCACACGCTGGGGCGCTCACTCCCATTCCTGCGCCCTCTCCTCTCCAGCCCCCACTACCACGAACAGCGGGGCTCCCCGCGGGCAGGTGCTCGCCCAGCCGGGGAGCCTCGGGGCACGGGAGGGGCGAGGGTCCCGGCCCAGCCCGGCCCGCGCCTACCTCGTCCCCGAAGCGCACCACCTTCTGGCCCGTGGGCCCGCGCAGGCCGGGGAAGCGCGCGAGCTCCTCGGGGTCCCCGGGGTCGCGGGGCGCCGGGGCGCTCGGACCCACCAGGCACCGGTCGATGATCTCGTCCTGCTGCGCGGGTGGCAGCCGCGCCCACTCAGGCCCGTACTTCTCGCGGATCTTCTCCTTGTCCTGCATGATCTTCCTGGCCATGGGGCTCAGCGACGAGAAGTAGGTGAAGCGCTTCCGCTCCCGATCGTCCAGAGGCCGGTTCCCGCTCATGACGGCCGATCGCGAGGCCGCGATCGCCGCCGCCATGGACGCCATGCCCCGCTGGCCGGCCGCTCCCGTCCGCCACTCCCCGCGCCCCCGCCCCCGCCGCCCGGGCCGCCCCGCCCTCGCTCCGCCCCCACCCTGAGCGGCTCCCTTCCGCCCCGGGAGCCCCGCCCCCCACGTCTCTCCCCCCGGAGTCTCTCCTCCGCGCCGCCACCCCCTAGGATCCCGCCCCTCCTCTACTCCCAACCCCCGGAATTCCGCCCTCTGCGACCCCACCCCGGGAACCCCGCCTCTCACTCTCTCCACCCACCAACTCCCGCACCCCCAGCCTGGGAGCTCCACCTCCCGCTCCCGCCCAGCCCTGGGAACCCCACCCCCGGGAACCCCCCTTCGCGTCTCTCCGCCTAGCTACACCCCCGCGACTCCCGGCGTCATCCGCATCCACCCTCGTGGGTTCCAGTGGTGCCCCCAATTCTTGGGGTTCCACTTGGCCAGCTCAGGAGGTGGCTGGCGCGTCCCCCAGTCCGCGCACTGTGGCCTGGCGGGTTTGCTGGTGGAGACCGCCATAGCGCCACGTGGTCACTTGCTTGACAAAGGAAACTTTTTCTCCTTCTAATGTTCCTGAGAAAGCTAGCTGGACATCTGGGGACCGAGCTGCCCGCTGCCTGTCCTCTCCTGTCCCTGTCCCTCATGAGCCGTCCCACGACACTGGGCCGTTGTCCTGCCGTGAGCCACCACAGGAGGGGTGGAAAGTGGGCAGCCAGGAGGCCGAAGGGACGACCTGGGGAGACTGGACTGGAGTCAGGGGTGTTAAAAGAAATTTAGTTCCCGCTCCTCCCAGAGAGAGGAGGAAAATGAAACACCAGGTAGTTCATAATGCCATCTCTGCAGAAGGAAGTTGGGAACCGCAGGGCCTGCGCACCTGTAGTGTGTTTTGCCACTGCAGATGAAGAGGTTGTCCCTAAGACATCTATGGCCTTTGCTTTCTCTGATACTGCAAATGAAATGACAAGATTTAGTTTGGAATCGCAGAAATCAGGAGAACTCAGCAGCTAGATGTTTGCAAACAAACTGAAGAGGGGCGGCAAGTTACAACTGGGGCCAGATGGTCATTCTTAAGTGTGCCCCACACCACAAAATTAAAATTACACAGAGCCCTTCCGCCATACCATCTGGCTGATTTGAACAAGACTGTAACAGGTCTCAGATGAGAACTAAGTATCCTTTCTTTAAAAACTGCAGGCCAACTGTTGTTACTTTGTCTTCAAAGTAACACTAGGATAATTCTGAACACAATCATAGAAAAAACTTGCAAAGTTCTGTTTTAAATGTGAAATGGCCTTAGCACCTTCTGGCCCAGAAATTCTAAGAAAATATTTTTGGAATGTCATGAATGTGACAAGCTCTATAATAAAAGATGTCACTATCAACAATGTTATCAGCATGATATATAGAAGTAGTGGGAAAAGCCACCAGATAATAACCTGGATTGCATAGTATGTTAAGGACTATGTATGAAGCCACAAGAGTGAAAAGAACTTTTTGGTATTATTATTCTCTAGTGCAGTTGCTATATACGTCCAGTACCCTAACCTGAGTGCCACTGATCTCTACCTCTTAACCCTTGTTTAGTAGTGAGTGATATTTAAACATGTTTTCTTGAGATTTAATTAGCATCTTCAAACTTGCTTTGAAATTCACATAGGAAAGGTTCTGTGCTATAAGAAACCTGGTCTCCACAGAACTTATATGCATGTGTGCATGACCAATGGACATGGACAACTAAGCCGGGGACAGGGTGGAGGGGGGGTAGGGTGGGGGATGCCAATGGGGTAAAAAGGTAAAATATCTGTAACAAAAAAATAAATAAAAATTCATAAAAAAAAAAAAAAAAGAAAAGAAACCTGGTCTCATTTGGTTTTAAAAGTGGCTGCAAAGCCCTGGTCGGTTTGGCTCAGCGGTTAGAGCGTCGGCCTGCGGTCCAGAGAGACCTGTGTTAGTTTCCGCTAAGGGCATGTACCTCGGTTGCGGTTTGTCTCCAGCCCTGGTTGAGTCGTGCGGGTGGCAACCACTCGATGTGTCCCTTTCACGTCGATGTTTCTCCCTCTCTCCCTCCCACTCTATCTGAACAAAATATCAAAAAATGTCCTTGGGTGAGAATAAGAAAAAATAATAATAATAAAATAAATATATAAAAGCTGCTGCGAAAAGCAAATGTTGCTTTCAGAAAAGCACAACCTGATTAAGATTTTCAGATCAAATATAATTTATTACCAGAGAAGTCATAATATAAATACAATATGACATAATTCTAGGACATCAGCCAAAGTATGTGAAGTCCATGATCTGGAAGATAAGGGGTAACTAAAAGAAAACTACTTCCAGATTATGAGAAACTCGGGGAATTAAATGGCTCTGACAGATAACTTGGCTGAAATCGGAGGGAAATGAATATACATATTCATGTACTCTAGGGAAGAAATAAAAATAGACAAATTCCAAATATGTAATAAGGTAAAATACTGGGATGGCTCTAGTGTAAGAATTGCAAAAATTAATATAAACAGAGCCGTTATGTTTTATTTTATTTTTCAGATAGAGGAAGGGAGAGAGAGACATCGATCTGTTGTTCCACTTGTTTATGTATTCATTGGTTGGGATGATGCTCTAACCAGCTGAGATAGCTGGTCAGAGCTTAACCAGAACCATTTTAAAATGGAGTCGGAGCTGCCATCCCAGAGGAACTGCCTTGCACATCCTAGTCTTCAAACTTTTGGAATGTTAAAACTGGACAGAAGAAGTTTGGACTGGGTCTGAGGCAACATTGTATCTAAAACTGTTTGCAAAGGTAACAAGAACGCAAATATAATGACTACCAGATCGAAAATTAAATACATTCTTTAGAATTACAGTCACTATATTAGCTTATCTGCACTAATAGAAATGCCTTCTTTCTCTTGATGTAATTGTTTCTCTTCCCTTTCTCATAAATCCCCCTTGCCTTGGCCTCCTAATTGGACCATTTGGGCTCTGCCTGAATCAATGTTGCCGGAGTAGCTATTCTTTTGGACCTCAAACAAATGCTTGCTGCCTCCCACTTTGGCCTTTTATTTTTAGGTTAATGGTATCTTCTTAAGCAAGAATTTGGCTGGAGGCGGCCTCCTTTGTCCTTCTTTGTGGATTTGATTTAACCAGGGGACTCTATTCACAAAATGAAGAGACCAGCACACGGTCCCTGACCCTCTGAAATGTTTTAAAACCTTGCAGTGGTCCAAAAAGCTTTCCTGTGTCCATTAACGTTTCATCGAGGCATTTGCTGCTTCACAGTAAGTAGTGCCGGAGAGAAGAGGGGTGAGGTTGCAGGAGTTCGGGGTTATTTTTACTAGATCTGTTGGTGATGGGCAATAAGGATTCTGTGCCTGGCAGCTCTTCGGGAAGGCGGTGTTGGTTCCTGAAGTGCTTTTCTGAGAAACAAGTGCTTTTAGTAAGGAGTAAACTGCCCCTGGTGTCTTGAACGGTGGAGTTCTCCCTCTGCACGTGCCATTTCAGGTGTCTCTCCGAAGGGTTCTCGGGGCCCCACTGGAGTGTGAACTGCACAACAGGGAGGACCTTATCTGTCTTGTGCACTGTCGGAAGCACGGATGCCTGGTTCAGAGTAAGGGCTCAACGACCGTTTGTTGAATGAATTACAAATGAATGTTATAGAATTTGCATTATTATCCCCCTTTTACAGCTAAGGAAACTGAGGCATCCCAGGAAATATCTCACCTGAGATTATCTCCCACCACCCCTTATAGTCTGAGATGGAATTGAGATTCACACCACAGAGGTTTCTTTGTCTTTTGTTAAATCTTCAACATTGATTTATGTGCCTAAGGTTAATTACTGCATTATAAGTAATAAAAGGGGTTTATGGCTATAATTTAGTAAAGTTTCCAAGTTACTCATTGGTGAAACACAGTATAATAACTGAATACCCAAGATGATGGCCAACAGTCTCATTACACGTCTGACATCTTGGCTAACAGTTGCTGCCCTAGAACTCCTCTCTCTAGCTCAGCCCCATGTTTTAAAACCTACTGAGAGACACAAACAGCAAGGCCATACCCCTGGGGCACCTCTGGAGACTTGGGGGCTGACCGATTCAGTGGCTTCGGGGAAAAGCCCAGAGGCAATGGAGTGAGGTGCCCAGCGGTGGGCCAAGGGGTTCACACGAAGCTTCTGCTAAATGCCTGTCTGAACCTCAGCTTCTTCGTCTTTGAGATGGGGATGACTACGCCAACCTTCTAGGGTAGCATGTCAAATGAGAGGGGACACCTGGGAAGACCCTCCCTCCGACCATGCTAGTGAGCCAGCCCCTCTGACTCCATATCCATGTGGCTGTGCCTGTGCCATGTTTGTCCCATGTACCCACACGCAAGGTGCCTTGGGGTTTATGAACGGCTGTTTCAGGACCATTATCTTCTTGGTTGAAGATCGGGGCAGTGTTCCTTTCTCTCTGCTGTCCATCCCCAGTGCCTCCGACAAAGCTGAATGTCGTATAGGCTGTTAGTACAAATGCCCGTGGGATGAACTTGTCTCCCACAAGTAGCTTGTGACCAGTTCCCCGCGGAGACACCCTGCGAGATAACGGAGAACCACAGGGAAACGTTCCAGCCCTGCTTCTCAGCCAAGTGACCAGCTCTAAGACCTTGCCAGCCAGTTGCTGAAACTTACGGTGAAATTCCAGGCACTGTGGCAGATGACAGTTTGGGGAAGGCCGTCTCTTGGTGACATGGCAGGACAGCGCTGGTGGATAAAGCCAGCCTTCCCCTAGATGCTTTCTGCGTGGAGGCAGGCAGACTCCCTGAAGACGATGACTCATTCCTACATCTGTTACTGGTTATTCCAGATGCTGGCCTGGCTGTTCTCTGCTGTCCACCCCCGCACCCAGAGAGGCTGGGCAGTGGGCGAGAGTGAACCTGGTCTTTTATTTTATTTATTTATTTATTTATATCCTCACCCGAGGACATTTTTTGATATTTTGTTCAGAGAGAGTGGGAGGGAGAGAGAGAGAGAGAGA